TTGTGCAAGAAGGGGCAGTGTAGACAGCTCCTTCTGGCACAAGAGCCTCTTCCGCAAAAATGGCGGCTCATTAGATATGCAAATGAGGCTCGGCGGTATTTCACGCTTTGCCCCATTTTAGATATGCAAATGAGGCTCGGCGATATTCCACACTTAGCCTCATTTGCATACTTCTGGTGCAAGATTGTGCCAGTGTAGACATAGCCTTGGTGTGAATGGACCGTACCTGAATTGGATCCATGGTGCCAGATTCCCTGCTAATGTCCACAGGAGCTCCACTGAGTTTGAACAACCTAAGGGTGCTGTTCCTAAGGAGATTACCATCTGTATTAAACTCCCTAACTAGAAGCTGTTGTACAACTCATCTAGGTATTTGCCTGGTTTTACAACAGGCTACAAAATAAAGTGCTAGCAAAGGCAATGCAAACTGAAATGTCATATAATGATGTGTTTATACTACTCTGTCTTCTGTACACAGAACTATAAGTACAATATTCACATTCCTATTGGTTTATTTTACAATTCTCCGGTAACAATGAGAAGGTAAAAGCATTGTTCAGTAATCGTGTGTTGTGAAACTTCTGTATTTTTAAGAAGCTTAGAGACTGCCACTTCCAGAAACCTCCCACATTGGCACAAACAGCTTGGCCAGTGTCAGCCGACGGTCAGGGCAGTGTGTGTGTGTGAGAGAAAAGGTTTAACATCCGTGTCTTTACTGCTAGGACTCGGGTCCCGTCGCAGAGGGTAGCCAGCAGGCCAACAGACGCCCCTTTATAGGAAGAGCTTATTACACCTCAGATTTTAGCTGCTAGGATGCAAAAATCTCTTCGCAGCGGGCAGCCTGGGAAAGACTGATAGGTGCCCCAACGGACCTGTCAACTGGGAGTGACACAAATCCAAGCGCCCGAGCTCTCCCTATACTTGTCCCTTACGACCGGCTGAAGTTCTTCTAAATTGTGCTTGGTTCTGTTACAGCAACTGAAGGAGTCAGGTTAAAAACTTAAACAGTTACAGGTTTATTAAAAAGACTTATAAAAGCATATGGTTACAATGGCTATTGCTCTCTTTCTTAACTGTTAACAAATACAGATTATTCCTCGTAGAATGAAGTTTACCATTGTCGACAAAACTGCCGCTTTCTGTTGACTTACTGTTGACAGAACTCGGCGGTAGTATAGATGCAGGTTTAGTTTTGTCGACAAAAGTCCACTTTTGTCAACAAAACCCTGTAGTCTAGACACACCCTGAGTGTGTCTATGTTCTCAGGTGTATCAGAAAGCACCATGGAAGGGGCTCCAGCCATGGCTATAAAGACCAGGGCCATAACAATATGGACTATACACTGGGAACCAATGCTGCAACCAGCTCACGGTTACCCCAGCTTCTTCTGCACCCCATTGGTTCATATCCTGTATCGAAACACTATCTCTGCAGGGGGACTGGTCTGATTATGAATTACTCTGTCCAAGGAGCATTCGTAGAATCATAGAATCATAGAATAATAGGACTGGAAGGGACCTCGAGAGGTCATCGAGTCCAGCCCCCCGCCCTCAAGGCAGGATCAAGCTCCGTCTACACCATCCCTGACAGATGTCTATCTAACCGGTTCTTAAATATCTCCAGAGAGGGAGATTCCACCACCTCCCTTGGCAATTTATTCCAATATTTGACCACCCTGACAGTTAGGAATTTTTTCCTAATGTCCAATCTAAACCTCCCCTGCTGCAATCTCCCCTGTCTTCCATGATTTTTCAAAGATCATAGCTAAAGGCTCAGATACCTCCTCTATCAGCTCCTTGAGTATCCTGGGATGCATTTCATCAGGACCTGGTGACTTGCTGACATCTAACTTTCCTACGTGATTTTTAACTTGTTCTTTGTGTATCCTATCTTCTAAACTTACCCTCTCTCTGCTTGTATTCACTACGTTAGGCACACCTCCAGACTTCTCGGTGAAGACCGAAACAAAGAAGTCATTGAGCCTCTCCGCCATTTCCAAGTTCCCTGTTACTGCTTCTCCCTCCTCACTAAGCTAGGAATTGGCACAGCAATCGAGTCAGAAATTGCTAGGAATTGGCACAGCAATCGAGTCAGAAAGAAGAAGGGGAGCAGGAGCCATTGGTGGAGAGATGGGACTAATTCAATACTCCTGATTGAGAGAAGGATAAAATGTTTTATTTCTCGGAATTAATCTCAAACATCACTGCTTCCATCCCTGAGAAGACCAGCCACGGCTGCTCAAAATACAAAGTGCAGGGTGGCAAAGGGTTATTTTCTGAGATTTACTTTGGAGCTTAAATACCAAGATTTTCCTTTCATCTGCTGAGGGTCCCTCCTCAGTTCCAATCTCACCGTGCAGTTGTACGGATGCTACTTGATTTGGTCTGAAATCCCTGCCATATTGGCAACAGGGATTCTTCTTCCGTGGCTTCTATTGCTTTACCCTCGCGGGAGATCAAAGTGCCTAGACCGGGGTGGGGAATAATTTTTGGCCAGGAGCCACTTCAAACATTTTTGAAGCCTGGAAGGGGCGGGGCCAGGATGCTTCTGGGCTTCCCCACCCCCAGGCCATAATTGGTCTGGGGGTGGGGAAGCCCCTTTCCCCCCCCCTTCCCACTAGGCACCAATGCCCCTGGCAGGGCCGGAAGAGGCCCTGATTGGCCTTGGGGTGGGGGAAGCACAGGAAGCCTCCTCCCACCCTGCGAGCGGCGTGCGGCACTTTGAAGTGCCACGCACTCCTCGCAGGGCCAGGATAGGGCAAAGGAATATTCATGCAGCTCTCCCGCCCCCAGGCATGCCTGGGGCAGATCCACCTGCTTGGTGGGCCGGATCCAGCCCATGGAGGCCCTTTTGCCCACCCCTGGCCTAGATGGAGCTGGGGAGGGGTCAGTAATGCCAGCTGTGGGGACCTGATTACAGTGAGACTTTGTGATCTCTTTCCCCCGCCCTGTTATCCAGCAAGGACACCTCTCCAGTGCCCGGGGGGAGTTTCTACTCACAACAGATCCACCATTGAGAAGTGCTGACCTCTCCCCAGCTGGGACCTTTCCGGGAATAACTCTCCCCATGGGTGGGGCAGCAGAATTGCCCGGGTCTGGTGCAAGGACTCCTGGGGGCAGGGAGTGGCCATTAAAAGTCCCACCGGAGACAGAGGCTGCGGAAAGGCCAGACGGGACCATTGGGATCTTCCCGACTGACGTACTGCGGCAGAGTCTCATTGCTGCAGGACAGCTTGTGTGCAGAGCGAGGCTCGGCTCTCACTGGGGGCAGGGACGGGTCCTCACTGCCCCACTGTGCAGAACCCCGCTTCATGGGCACAGCCTCACGCGGACAAGGGGCGGTCTCTCGCTATGTGGCTGTGCTGGGCCAGGGAGCCTCATCTTGGTGGGGGCCATGACCCGGAAGAATCCTGTATTCTGACCGATAGCGAGGCTGTGGTCGCAGGTCGGGGACATTTCATTGTGCTGCCATGCGGGTGGGGGGCAGTGTTCCCCGTAAACACAGTGCTGGGTTAGCCCCCCGGGAAAGATGCAAACGCTGCCCAGCTGACTAGCAGAGAGCCCACCGCCAGCAGCATTTGTTTCTAGCGGTGGTGCACATAGCGGGTGCACATCACAATGTTTATTCTGCACAATGATGGAAAAATTAGGGGGAACTTTGGTGGAGAGGAGTCCATTTTCCAAAGTTTGGGAAAATTCCACTGAAAAGCACTTACAACACCAGATGGGGGGGTCGAGTGGAACTAGATTTATTTGCCTTATTGCAAAGACATGAGGAGGAGGAGAGGGTTAGAGCTGCACCCGACAGTCAAATCACTGAGCTGGCAAAAGTCAATTTCACAGGAGAGTGCTGTGTTACTCATCTTCAGGCTGACCCGCAGGAGAGCACAGGGCAGAAAGCATCAGGGCAGCTGTGGTGGCGCGTTTCTGGGGGCTTAATAAAAAAGAAAAGAAGCAGCCATTAGGATCAAAATACAGCGTGATACCCATCAATCTTCCTAAAGCCAAAAGAGACCAAGATGAACATCTGGTCTGACCTTCTGCAACACAGGCCAGAGAACCTGACCCAAGAATTTCTGTATTAAGCCTTTATCTTCTGTGTGAGCTAGAGCATGGATTGGGGAAAGATATCCAGCCTTGGTTTAAGGGCTTCAATCTGCCATTTATCTACAGAAGTTGTTCCGATAACTAATTTCCCTCACTATTAAAAATGCTCCTTATTTCTACTCTGAATGTATCTTGCTTCAGCTTGCAGCTATTTAGAACATGAGAATGGCTAGACTGGGTCAGACCAAAGGTCCATCTCACCCAAAATCCTCTCCTCCGAAAGTGGCCAATGTCGGTACTCCAGATGGAATGAACAGAAGAAGTAATCATCAAGCAATCTCCTGTCGCCGAGTCCCAGGTACTGACAAACAGAGACTAGGGGCATCCTCCCTGCTCGTCCTGGCTAATAGGACCTATCCTCCATGAATTTATCTAGCTCTTTTTGAACCCTGTTTATAGTCTCGGACTTCACCACATCCTCTGGCAAGGAGTTCCACAGGTTGACTGTGCACTGCGTGAAGAAAAACGACCTATTGTTTGTTTTAAAACTGCTGCCTATTAATTTCTTATTTGACCCCTAGTTCTTATTTAATGGGAAGGAGTAAGTAACTCTTCTTTTTTTACTTTCTCCACCCCAGTCATGATTTTATAGACCTCTATCGTATTCCCCCTTTAGTCGTCTCTTTGCCAAGCTGAAAAGTCCTAGGACTTGTTATTCCTCTGCTAGATTAAAGAGCTATCTACTCTCACAAATCTCTTTCCCAGTATAAGTGATGATACACCAGGATCAAGTAATCTCGTAACCATCTCTTGGATAAGATAAATCAAGAACCTTGAGATCCTTTTCTCCAGGCCTTGAATCCAACCTAGTGCTCTTTTCCAAATCTTCTGCAATTACCCTAACATCCTTTGTAAGTATGAACATCAAGATTGGTCATATTGGGGCCAGTTCTTTTCTGACATAACTTCAGGTAACTTTAATGGATAGTGTGGTCCAGTATTCCATCGCTGGCCTCATCAGCCTTAGCTCCCTGCTACTATAACATTGCAATTGCTAGGCTCTGGTGAGAGAACCTCAGAGCAAAGGTAGTTACTGATTTAAAAAAGTACACGTGTTATTCCCACTCGGATGACTTGCCGCATATTTAATATAACAACGAAGGAGTTAGCTGAAGCACGCTTCATAGGAAACCATTTACCCCGACTTCCTCGGACAGTGAGTGATTTTAGAAGAGATTTCATGGGGGCCCAAAATTATGGGCCACTTTCAATGCCTATCCAGTGAGCGTGCGGAGAAGAGGACATTCTCCAGTAAGGCTGAAGGAAATTGTCAGTGGATTAAGTATTCGTAGAATTCCTGGGGCATCTCCCAGCTGCAATCAATTTCAGGTGATTTCAGAGGAACTTTTTGTGAGATGTTCCATAGGAGAGAAGGAAGCTCTAACAATATCCACCTCCCATTGGCCCCAGCAATCTCCCATAACCTCCCTGGAGCTACTGTGTGTTTACTAGGCGACTGTTCACAGTAGCTTTCAGCAGCAATGCCTTCTGGGTGGTACAGAAAGCTTCTTGTGCTGTGTATCAGGGACACACAACGGAGTTCTGGGAGAGGAGTCCCACCTGCTATAAGTTCTATGGCTCATCTGGTGCCTTTGCAACATCGGAAAACACAGCCAATGCTCCTTACTTGGCAAACGTTAGTAGACAACAAACCGGAGAAAACATGGCCAAGTCCCCTGATCTGTGTGAAGATAAATGATCACCTTTGCTACTAACACTATTTTCATGAAAGCTGATGTCACCTCCAGCATCACTGTTCAAACTGCCAGAGTTCAGCAAATTGCAGAATATTTCTTTTCTGTATGTTCTGTATTATGGTGAAACCGCAGGGTCTCCCGCTGAGATTCTAATGATCTAGTGAAGCTATGGAATATTTAAACCAGCTGGCCCCCACAAATATTTAAATATTTGGCCCCCACATCATTCTCATGCACTACTGGAGAAAGTGTATACATCCAAAGTCTGCATGAATTGTTTCACAATGTCCAGTTGATGAGATACAGGGGGACAAATGTTGACTACAGAGTTGGCCACCAAAAGGCTGGGCTGCTGGTGAGCAGGGATGCTGGATGCTTTTGAGGCAAAATACGATAGTCTGAAAGCAAAGAGGGCCGCAGATACTCACCGATAACTAGAACTGGTTGTTTTGCTGCAACAGAAAGAGAAGTTAGGAATGCATTACGTTCAATGCCTCGCCAGTGTAGCAGAGATTGGAGAATTTACTAACTACAAATTACCCCCAGGACCTGGGGGACACTTCATGGCTGTCCAATGGATTTGTAGGAGAAGCCCTCCCCCCATGAGACTGGGGGACACTTCATGGCTGTCCAATGTATTTATAGGAGAAGTCCTCCCCACATGAGGATATGGGAAATTTTCATGAGGCCCCCAATGGGAATATCTGCCAGGTGAAATGCATTGTGGGTGATTGTCCAAGTCCCTCCGAAAAGCTATTTCAAGGGTGCAACAAAGGAATCGTGATGACACTGCCCCACCAGTCCTGCCAATCTCATATAAGCCTCCCAAACGTGTACATCGGGGGACCCGCTCAGGGAGCTCCCAGCAGAAATGCCTTCAGTGTGACATTGACCAGCCTTGTCTGGCAGGCCTCATGGCTGCCTTGCAGGCTGTGGGAGAGGAGGTTGACCTGCCATAGGACTCTGGGGATTTTCATTATCTCTGTAGAGTTGGAGGAATTTCCATGCTGCCTTCGCAGGGAAACGTGACCAGACATCAAACTAGCTAAACAGGGCCCATTCCCCTGATCTGTGTGCAGCTACATGGCACCGAGAGGAAATCTTTGGGACTCACATTGTTGTCGTCAAAGCTGCCGTCACCCACGTTGCCGGTCTTTACGCTACCGGAGTCCTGCAAGAGGGGAAATATTTATCACGTGCAGTGTGGAAACAGCTGGAGGGTTCCAGCAGATCTTCTGTTGGCCAAATGGTGCCATAAACCAAGTGGTACCATAGGGATGTGGCATATTGATTCTGGTGGATCTCTGGACAATTTACACCAGTGGGAGCTTGGCCCTTTTGATTCCAATTAATCTAGAGCAAATTTACATTATTTGCGTATCTGGCCCAACACCATTCTCATCCACTGCTGGAAACCAAGAGATAATCCTCAGTGAAGCACCAGCATCCCAATTCTGCACATTTATTATACTGAACCCGACTGACAGGTTAAAAAGTTTCAGCGTAGCAGGGGTGTAGAGGACTTTGCCAGCAAAGGGTTGGGTCCTTAGTGAGCAGCGAGACAGAACTGCAGTGAGGCAAATCGTGAGAGTCCGACAGCAAAGGGAACGGCGGATACTCACCACTGACCAGAACTGGTTGTTTTGCTGGAAGAGAAAGAGAAGTTAGGAACGCATCCCGCTCAGCTCCCCAGCAGAGAAGCAGAGACCTCAACTCCAGAATAGCCACATCTGAACTGACCAACAGACCCGTCTAGTCTAATGTCCCTCCCTAGGCTGGAACAAAAGAATGGCTCCCCAATCACGTCTCCTAAAAGGGCCATTTTAATGACCCCTCAGGCTCATGACTAAGCCACAAAATCTCATGACTCACATTTTCATGGCTCAGAATTTTCATGACAGAGCAAAAAAAATCATGACTCAGCTGGCCTCATCGCTGCCATAGACCAGAGATTCTCAAACCGGGGGTCATGAGCTTGCTGGGGGTCACAAGCTTATTATGTGAGGGAGTCCAAGAGGCAACAGCTTCCACTCACATGTTCTACTTCGCCTCCAGATTTATAATAATGTTAAATAGATAAAAATGTGCTTTTCTAAGGGGTGTCACTCCTGGATTTTCTACATGAGCGGGGTGACCAACACAAAAGTTTGAAAACCACGGGTCAAACGAACCACTGAGAACGATAGGTAGTAAGTCCTCAGTGCGACTCTCCCACATTAGAACGGATGCTCTGCTGAGATCCTCCCCTAGCTAAACACTTTCCTTATTTATAGGTATCCAGGTCACTTCTCATAGTCTCTAGGCCACGTGTTGTTCCCCGTCAGATGCCATGATACGGGATTAATCTAATAGGAGAGGAGTCAGCCTAGGTGTTAGCTAAGCTCCTCGCACTGGTCCCAAGAGCACTGCATTCCCTGTGCTTTTGGAAGGGTCCCTGGTGAGGATTTTAGGTGGTGTCCAAAGGACCTGTGGGACACTTCATGCCTCTCCAGTGCACTTGCAGGAGAAGGGATCATCCTCCCATGAGCCAATGGGGGAGCTCATGAGGCCCCAGTGGGGATGGGGATGTATCCCCGAGCCCTTGGGATATCTCCCACGTGCAATGCATTGTGGGTGATTGTCTGCGTCCCTCTTGCAAGATGTTTCCTGGCTTCCCAAAGGAATTGTGGAGGTAACACCAACCCATCGGCACTGGCAATCCCATATCAGCCTCCCAAACACGTGTTTGCCTGGGGGCCCACCGAGGGGATGCCCAGCAAAGGTGCCTCCTGTAGGACATTTAGCAGCATTTTCTGGGCCTTTTCTCATTGCTACC